TGTTGAGTCTCTTGAACCCTCTTTGAGTTGTTTAGTCCATCACAGTAAATGTCTGCAACTTGAGCAACGTTCATGACTTTGCTGACTGATGATTACGATCAGGCCAGCTGACAGCCTTCCCTGGGCCCGGGACAAGATGATACTAGATGCCCCCGCCACCCCTCCTCGCCCCCATCACCCACATCTCCCCTTTTCTTTGCTCTTCTTCTCCTGTTCCTCTCCTCACCTTGCCTCCTCTTATTCTCCTCTACTCTGCTTTCTTTACATCTCTTCCATCCATCCTGCTCAGACTGTCCGACTGGGCAGCAAGCCCCTCCCGCTGCACTTTGACTCCCTCTCTCAGTCTCATCCGTGGTCTGACTCTGTCCCCCCTGGTGGACCAGCTGGCCCCTTCCTCCTCATCTCTGTTACCTGACGGCAGGTGGACCTCTCTATCTCATCCTCTCTGACGGAGCCACTAAACTCGTCCGTTTCTGTCAAACATTTCGTGTTTTGTCAGGATTTGTATCACAGCTAACGGATATTAAGAGCTAGCCAAATGACATCACAAGGCTAACAAACGTTGGCTCCGCTGTTTCTTACCTCGCTCTACGTTGACTTTACTAGTTCCAGCTTCGTGTCACCACCTTTTTAAAGTATTTTTTAAGCAAATCTCTAAGGCCTCTATTTTCTTCCTCTCTTTTTCTCTTCTTTTTCCTTTTCTGAGCACCAAACTTCTGCTGAGCGGACATTTTGGAAAATCCGAACTTCTAATCAAAGGACATCAGACGTTGATCAGGGGCCAAACCATTTTATGTTGGAGGTGGGGGTGGAGGGCGATTCCAAAAATATTAAGGACAGTTCAGACGAAAACAAATTAAAACTTCTAACTCAAATATTGCAGACTTTGGGGAAAAAAATCCATAATTCAATGAGGGTCCAGTTCTGGGCCCCCCACCCCACTCTGGGCCCGGGACAACAGACCCGTTTGTCCCCCCCTATCGGCCGGCGTGATTACGATGCACTGAGAAGGAAAAGAAATGTCTGCAACTTCAAAAAAAAAAAGTAGTTTTGGGTTTATGAATCTGTGCAGAATCCAGCCACAAGTGTTAAGAGAAAACATGAAAGCTATTTGAATATATTTTTGTCTAAATCGACATACAGACACAGAGCTACGTTAGCTTTCATGGGATTCATCTCTTCCTGGCTGCAGTAGATTTCCATCTTCACCAGCTGCTGAGGGGAACATTTGTCTCCGAGCAGGTTGTGGACAGTCGATTATAAAAACTTTGTTCATGAAACTGCTGCCTACTGTAGCCAAGCTGTAGCGTACCAAAATAGTAAAGTTGTGATCTGTGAAACCAACAAACAATAAACTACAGAGCTGAAGGGAAACGTAGTCGTGATAAGTTTCTGTGAGCTGGTGGTCACGAATTATTCTTAATCCAGCCTTAGTATAATATTATCCATTAGTGCACCTTAGAAAGTACATTATTTTGCAGGTTTAAACAGATTTAAACACAATAGCGAGCTGCTTTCAGTAAAAATATTAACAATTCCTCACCTCTAGTTGTAACTATAAGCTCAAAGTTTGTTCCTGTGTTGTCTGATAAATTCATTAATTGTGTTTTTACATGACTTACTAGCTTATTTACATTTTTAAAACCCATATCTTTCCCTACCACTGTAATTTTCACATACATTTTTATCTGCTTGTTTTTTTAATTAGAGAAATCAAGAAAAGAGGTGTCATCTCATACCACACAAGCTTTGTTTTTACAGTTTTTCTTCCTGTGACGAGCACGACAGCAAAAATCTACATCCAAGCCAACCTAACCTTTGTTAAAAAACCTACCGTCATTCATAAACGCAAGAAAAACAAACGTATTGCTTGTGGAAAAGTGGACTGACCACGTTGACATGCCATGCCGGCAGGATGATTTTAAGGGATTTAGCAGCAACAGTCAGCCTTCGTGGCCGAGGCAGCCGTCTTTGCATTTGACTGGATGGCAGATCAACCCTGCATGCGGCATACAGACAGAGATCTGACCCAGCTACCCACTGGACTGTGTGCATCAGAGGAGAGAGAGGAGGAGGAGGAGGAGGAGGAGGAGGAAGAGCGAGAGAGGAGAAAAAGAGAGATAAGGATGAAGATAACAAGAGCAGAGTGTGCAGGAGATAGGAATGAGGGCAGACTGAGGTAGGGAGGTGTAAAGCATTCGAACATGGAAGGGGGCAGTAATAAGAACAGAGACAAAGCAGAGCCGGACGGCAGAGTGTGAGCGAAAGACAGTCAGCGAGAGGAGAGGGGAAGACGGGAGGGAGTGTTGGAGAAGAGATGAAGTATGGAGAGATGGTGACTCACTCCAGTGGTGGTAAAGCTCTGATTTATTCTCTCTGTCTTTTCTGGGTCATATACTGTGGGTGTACGAGGGTCTCTATTAGCACTCGGCCACTTGGAGCAGAAGCTTAAGCAACTTTAACACTGACTTCTCCTCTCGGATGCCGTCGAGCTAAGATGGAAGCGCAACCTCTAAAAACATGACTAAAAATAAAACTTTGTAACCTGGACTGCAATCAGCTGACGTACACCGGCCACCGAGGCAGCAGAAATTATGTTCAATCGATGAATTTAAAAAAAAAAATAAAAATGTAATTAACAGGAGGACTCACCCGATCACGACGATGACGAAATCCAGCATGTTCCAGCCGTTTCTCACGTACGCGTTCTGGTGCATCACCAAACCATAAGCGATGATCTTCAGAAAGGTCTCGATTGTGAAAATGATGAGGAAGGCATACTCAACTGTTTCCTGCGGACACACAGACAAAGAGGAAAGATGGCTTTTTAACAGGAACAAGCATCATTACAAACAGTGTGAGCGTTTGGTATGTAGACAGTAGACAGAGTTACACAGACACTGAGGGACGAACACACTCAAAAAGAAACAGACGAAAACATTTTAGGTCAGCAGTATGAATGAATACGTGTTCACTGGAGTAAACATAAGTTTGTGCGGAAACACCAGATAAAATAATTAAAATAAGTCGAGGACCTTGTAGAGAAATACTTTACATTGTGTTCACCATAAACAAATTCACCTGACAGTTTTAGTTCTAACAGCTTGCCAGTACAGTTATTATACCTGTCTAATATTAGAATAAATATTACAGGATCTAATATTAGAATAAATATAAAATATCTATAATAAACCTACATGGATATCTATAAAAAATGTCTGCGATATAAATAGTTTTTAAACTCCCATTTTACTCCCTAATTCTCCCAGTTCATCTCATTTAATCATTAACTTCAGTTATGCATCAATGTACACTCTGCTGGTTTACCACAGCAAAAATATTCAAGGATTCAAAGATTCAAGGTGTTTTATTGGTCATAAACAATAAACAAAAAAATTAAGACAAATAAGAATAAGGAATAAAACACACAAGAAATAAAATAAATATATATGAATGTATACATTTATATATAGAGAGATAGAAATACCAGAAATAAATAAATCAAATTGACAAACAGTGCAAAAGGGGAATAAAATTAATAAAGAAAATAATAATAAGCTTATGTTCATGTGTATATACACAGTGAAAAGTGCAAAGTGACCGGTTGGATTGTTATTGAGAATTGCACAGCAAATTAAAAAATAATAATTATAATAAAAAACAAACTGTGCATTGCAGCTATAACATCACTTATTTCTTCTATTCATGGAAAATATATCTTGTATTTTGATAAGGATATTATCAGTCAACCAAACCAAAGATCTAACTAGAAAGTTATCACATGAAGCAAACACACACAATCATATCAGAGTCTCATGCTTTTTTTTTCTTCATTTAAAAACCCAGTGACACCAAAACCAAAGAGCAGCCCAAAGCACAGCGTCCTTCTACATTATTGAACACCGGCGTTCAACCAGAGCTAGAAACCCTCACCGTGTCCTGACCTCCTTCTAATCTGATTCTCACACTTCCCCAACACTCGTCCCTGCACACATTCACAGAGCGCTGTGAAAACCATGACAACATGAGAAACGTTGATGAGGTGCAGATTCAGGCTGGATAAGAAAGCTAAGAGCATCAGCGGTTTTATGCTGTCAGTGTTTGGCTTTACGATTTAAACCTGCACAACTTTTGTCTCCCTCCTCAACGAGCGGCACCGAGATTAATTACACGAACACTAGTTTTGCGTCGCCTGAGCCTAGAACGATCTGACTGCCCTTCACCGTCATTCTGCTGTAGAAGGAGAAAAACGGTGGTGAGTTTATATTTCTTTCATCTTGGGCAGAACTAAGAACAGGATGCAGCGATGGTAGAATTATTATGGTGGAACTTTTGCATTCAGGGAGGCAAGAACTGCCATAAAAAGCCATAATCCCCCAAATAAACTACCAAGACTTCTTTATTGCACCATCAGACCTCCTGCAAACCTAATTTTCAGCATGTGTCTTGCTGCCTGAAGATTCTCCAGGTCATGGTTGTTCTTGTAGCTTAATCGTGGACTTGCTTGAGTTCCTTGAAGACGTTTCATCCAAGAGGCTTCATCAGCTCTGACTGACTAGTTGGGAGTTCCAGATGCTTCTATCCTTAAGGAGCCATTAACACCTGAGGGTTTCAATTGGGGGTTTGTTGCTCCTCCCCCTCGTTATGTGAGTTGTTAGTGCTCCCCCTGACACAATGGGGTTCATTAGGGTCTTTTGTGGTGAGGTGTGGATGTGGGATCATCTTCCTGGGGAGAGATCTTAGGACTGAGTTGTAAACAGGTGAGAGGTGATGCCTCAGACCTCCACCTCTGTTGAGGGATTCCAGTTTGACATAGATGGGCTTCTTTCACCCCCTCTCTCAAACCAGCTGTCCTCCCTGCAGGCCAACATCTGTACGTTGTTGTCAAGGGATTTTAAAAGCAGGAGCAAGCAAATAGCCAAATGACCCGTAATCTGCAATCAAGGTTGTTCCCCTCATTGGTTGTGGCAACCCAGTTGTTGCTGATTGCCCTCAAACGCCTCACTATAGGAAATGGGAATGATGCTACAAAAGTCAGATTTAAACTTGTTTATGCAGCAAAATACAGAGACTTACTTTGCCCTAAGAGGCTCTGTGTGAACTCATCTGGCCTCAGCTTGAAAAACAAATATTCATTTATATGTAAAAGTCTTGCAGTGTAGTTTCAAATGTCACAGGCCTGACGCACAAGAGCTTCAAAAGACTGAACTCATCTTTTGCTTTCTCCTTAAATCAACTCGTCTTTTCAGCCCAACTGACCGCTGACATGCATGCACCTCCAAAACCTTCATAACAAGACAATCAGACAGCAGTTGCACTAATAATACCAATTATAATAATGATAAAACCAGTTGACAAACACATTAAAATATCCATCTTGTTATATGTCTAGAAGACGGATTGTGAATATGTAAAACTAAGGTGAAATTGTGACCACTGTGGAAGAAGAAAGGGCCGCGGCACAAACACAAACACGACTCTAAAATGGTGAAAACAGATTTACTAGGTCGGATAACCGGGCGGAGAGCTCTCACGGCTTGAGTGTATCAGAGTGAGGCAGAGGTTAAAAAAGGGACAAACACACTTTGAATAAAGTGGCTGTTTTTAGAGGGTATGTAGAGATTAACACCAGTGATGTAACCCAGCAGTGCGCCTTTCTCCGGTTGTTTCAAAGGCACAGAGAACACGGGAACATTAAGCCATCAGGTTGAGGTCGACTGGGAGCGAAGCTGACAAGAGAGGCGCACGCAGCTCGACAGAGGTGGTATGTGCACTTTAGTGCAGTGAGATGTGCGAGGAGCTGGAGGTGGACACACCAAAGGTGACTCAGCTTGTTTGGTACAGTCCTGGGACCTCCCTGGAGATGTGAAACCAGAGAGACGCCCTCTTCATCCTTTATGCATGAGGCAGGTCAACGTAAACCCTGCAAACAGGCTGCCATTCAAAATATCTGTCCATCAGTACAAAACCGCGCTAAACGTATTACAGACAGGAATTTAACTCTTGACATGAGAAGCACAATGCAGATAATGGCACGCACACGTATATTATGATATACATAATAACCTCTCCTGCCCAAGGGAGCCCTTAATCCCCTGCTCTGTGTTCTCCGCGGACACCATAAATGCAGGAGTGCTGCGGGCCGCGGGGCTCGTTTTCCCAACAGTTTACTGCAGATTGTGAGAAGCACTTAGCCCAGAATAAGAGACATGGGCCTCTTTGTTACTGAAGTAAAAGGTTGAGTTAAGCTCACGGCTGCTGCCTCCGTGACGGAGCATGCTCGGGCCGCGGGGAGCAGAGAGAACAGGGCGATTCATACCAGGATGGAAGGAAAGTGACAGAGACACGAGTGAACGATTTTAGAGACCATAAGAAGGCAGAGCGGAGTGCTGCTGCAGCTATCTGTTAGCGGTTAACGAGAACAAACTGGCCGATCTTGTTCAGTTTTAGGCCATGATGTGGGAACATGAGGATGTTCTTTATAACATCTTCTCCTGTGTCGTAACTGAGGCACTAAAAACAGTCGTCAGAACAATTTTTACTCTCCAACCTGCAATAAATGTGTCCCTTGTTTGTTAAGGCGTGTTGAATATAATCACTAATGATAACCATTCCCTCTCAATTAACCAGTAATTTATTCATTCATCAGCATGTTGAACCGTGAGCAGAAATAGAAAGAGAGAGAGAGAGTGACAACAAGAGGAGGAGAGCGAGGAAAGAGGCCTTTAGGGATGACCATAAATATCTGTGACTCATCGCAGTTTATTTGTGCTGTAAAGAGACTTACTGTACTGTGGTTCCTTGTCTCATACAGTAAAACGCTATCAGCAGTTCATGTGGTCACTTCGCTTGCTGCTATTCTCTGAGGTACACACACCACAACATGAGGCGCTTACACAGACACACATGTTAAAGTCCTGAGACTCACGCTAACAGCAAACTCACGCTCAGAGTTCCTCCTCTAACTTGCCACAGGGCGAGCGTTCATGACTACAAGCACAACTCCGTTCATCTCAGAGCTCCGTTCGCCGTACGACGGAGGATGCAAACCCACCGAAGCGTGCGTTTTTCTACATAACTCGCCAGGTGGAGAGCGATAACGTCGACCTATTAACGGTTCAGACGGGCCCGTCTGCAGCGCCACAACTCATCCTCCTGCAGACACACGGGGGGATCGCTAATTTAATTTTATGCCTCCTAATAAGTGGGAATGAAGACATAAAAAGACAATAAAACAGCTTGTAATTATAGCACATTGTTCACACGCTACGACTTAATATTTCAATAAAGTCAGTTTATCTAAACTAATTACAACCCTCAAACACATCGCAGAGCATTAAATGTGAAACAGCGGAAATATTAAATTTACACATTTTTATTATGTGTTGCACAGACACACAGTTATTTTATAGATTTTTATTAACAAACACCCTCAATAAACTAAAAGTTCTGCAGTAAAACGGTTGCATTTTACAGATTTGGCTCAAACTCTAACTATCAAACAGCCTTAATAACGCGTTAACACATGCTGGAGACTGTTAAAAACTAGTCTTATTTTAGAAGACAAATAAAGTAAACACTGCTGTTACTTCCTTAAAACTTATTAAAACATTGCACTAGGATGAAAATCTAGAACGACAACCAGCTATTTAGAAATAATCCTGCAAAGCCCCACCGGGAGGAATTCAAAAACTAAAAACGTGCCTCATTCAGTGTTGTGACCCGGCCTGTGGGCTGCAAGACTGACTTCAGTTTTATTTCATTAAATAAATACCTTAAGTGAAGCTCCAGC